CCACCACCACCTCTCCACCACCACACACACACACACACACTATCTCTCACACTATCTCTCTCTTTCTCTGCTATGTCCACCCTCAGACGCAGGGTGGGCGCACCAGGCGCGAGCGGGCTGGCTTCCCGATCCGCAAGCTCGCCCAACCTGACGGCAGCGACCAGGCAGGCCGAGGCAAGACAGGCGGCAGGGCCAGCAGGGCTGTGGAGCACAACCGAGAGCAGCGGTACAGGTGGTGGGAATGTGGCATGCGGGAAGAGCAACTGGGCGCTGTTCTCGGTGCCGACGGTCCTCGCCTCGCTGCCGTTTGTGGTCTTTCTGGCCATTGATCTGTGCGCGGAGAACAACCCGGAGAACACCAGCACGGCGACGCAGACGCTAGTCTACGTGCTCCTGCTGGCGGTTCTGGTCGCGCCGCCACTGACCCATGCGCTTGCGGGCTGGTACGCCTCGACTGCCGACTCATACCGCCTGTGGCAGCCGTTTGAGGGTGGCCTCTCCTTTGTCCTCATCCAGATGGTGGCCTGGATCGCTTACGGCTCGTCCATCATCCTCGCCTTTGTCTTTGTCTTCTTTGTCGGCGTCCGCAACGAACCGCCACCGGTCGACGGCCTGGTCGCTTCCATCGGCGCCGTCGGCCTCTTTGCGCAGGTCGCCCTCCTCTGGTCGCTGGGCTACTTTTCAGGCCGTCGCCTCCGCCCCAGCACGCTCGGCTCGGATAACGACGACGTCGACTCGGACTCGGAGCCGCTCGCCTCCGACTCGGACGATGCGCTCGAGTCGCCACATCTCCGTCGCGCGTCGTCGGTCCGCAAGCTCCGGCGCTCGCAGTCGGTCCGCGCCTACCGAATCCGTCTCTCGCTGGCGTCGACCTCGGACCTCGACTCGTCGGCCGGCTCGGACACGCTCGCCCCTGCGCTGGCTGCCGCCCGCGGCAGTGCTTCCACACTTGCTTCGCCCGGATCGGCTCCCGCGGACCTGATGCCGCTCCCGGCCCTTGTCGATGCTGACGATGACGACGCCGTGGTTCCGCCGTCGATCTTTGCCGGCGCGCGGTGGAACACGGTCGGGACGTTTACCCTCCTCATGGCCTGCGTCTCGGCCTGCTGCTTTGTCTTTCTGGAAATTGCGTCTGAGCGCCAGCCGCACGCCGACGCGGCGTACTCGGTCTCTGTGGCCGACGATGCTGTGCCGGCGTACGCCTTCCCCATTGGCGTCCTTGCCGCCGTGCTCCTCATTGCCGCCGCGCCGCTCACCCACGGCATGGTCGGCTCGCGCAAGTACCGCAATCTATACCGGTTCTACCAGCCTTTCCGCGGCGGCTCGGTCTATGTCCTGTTGCAAGCGCTCGGGTGGTCTATGTACGGCGTCTTCCTCCTCCTCTCGCTCTACGTCGGCTATCTCTTTGCCACCAAGGTCAACATTGTGGCCGGCCTCATCACCTCGGTCGGGACCGCTGGCCTGGTGGCGCAGGTCCTCCTCTTTGTCTCAGTCTTTTGGTTCCGCTACGAGCCGACGTCGTCGTCCGACTCGGCAGTCCTCGGCACATCGCTGACCGAGCTCGCGCTCGACGTCCGCGCCTTTCTGGTCGCTAACTTTCTATTCCAGTTCCCGCTCGTCGAGTTTGTGGTCCTCCTCTGCCTCTGCTGGGCGCTCCAGGCCCGCGGCATCATTGCCTTTGCGCTCTTTGTCACCCTCCTGGTTGGTTCCAACTTTGCCTTTGCTCTCCTCTGCATGCTCGCCGGCGTCCTTCACACTCCGGGTCTGCTCGTCGTCACCGTCCTCTTCATCCTCTACTGGCATACCTACAAGGACGCGCCGCACGTCACCGGCGCCCATCGCTGGGAATGGTGGTGCACTCGCGACTGGCTCTGGTCGTCGGCCTCGCGCTACTTTTCGGCCACCGTCTTTGGCAAGCCGCTCGATCCAAGCGCCACATACCTGTTTGGCTTCCATCCGCACGGCATCTACCCGATCACCTGCATCTGGCTTGGCCTCTGCCGCGAGTGGCGCGAGGCGCAACCGGGCGTTACCTTTGACTCGCTCGCTGCCACGATTGTCTGCCGCACTCCGTTTATGCGCGATCTTGTGCTCTGGTCCGGCGTCCGCGACGTCTCGCGCCGCTCCATCAACGCCGCCCTCGCCTCGGAGCGGTCGGTCATGCTGGTGCCTGGCGGACAGGCCGAAATGTTCCTCCACACTGACGACCCCAATGTGGTTCACTGCGTCACCCGCCACAAGGGCTTTGTCCGTCTCGCCGTCCAGAACGGCGTTGCCCTCGTCCCCATCTTCTCCTTTGGTGAGAACCAGATCCTCTCCAACGTCCATCTGCCCAAGCTCCAATCGTGGACCGTCAAGCACCTCGGCTTTGGCTTCCCGCACTTCCCCATGGGCCGCATGTACACATCTATGCCGGTCCCGACCAAGGTCACCATCGCCGTTGGCGCCCCGGTCCCGGTCCCGCACATCCCGCTCAACGAGCAGAAAGAGATGGACCCCGACGAGCTGGCCGAACTCATCGACACCATCCACGCTCGCTACTTTACCGAGCTCCTTGCGGTCTTTGACGCCTACAAGGCCGCCGCAGGCTGTCCGGACGCGGTCCTCAAGCTAGTTCCCGAGCTCGATCCAGAGCTGGTTGCCGCCGCCGCCGCCGCCGCCGCCCTCGAATGAGGCGGTCATTGCTCCTCGCTATTGAGCGCCAGCCGCTGAACTGTTGGCAGGCGGACCACCGGCCGGCTCGCCGTCCGCTTGTTGGCGGTCGGGACCTCGGTCACAAACGTGCCGCCCTGAGGCGCGGCCTCGCTCCGAATCCGCAGCTTAAAATGGGATGGATCAATGTACAGGAGGTTGGGCTTGTGGCGGGTGCGGAGGCCTGCGCGCTGGGAAACGGCACCGCCGGGCGACGGAGAGCTGCGGCCCCCGCGCGATGGCGACCTTGCTGCACCTCGCAGCGGAGTCAGCGGCCGCGACGGCGAGTCGCACACCACGCCGGACGCCGATTCGAGCTGCCGCCGCTTGATAGGCGAGAGCGGCGAGAGCTGCGGATCGTACTCTGCGCGCGCCGCCGCTGACGCCGCCGCTGCTGGCCCGCTGCCTGCCGCCGATGCAAGGCCAAACGCGTGGCCAAACTTGTTTGCCCGCCGCCCAAGCACAGCGTAGTGCTCTTGCAAGTCGGCCGCCATGTTGCGAAAGGCCTTATGGATGCGCTCGCGATGCGCGCGTCGCTTGGCGAGGGCGTGCCGGCGGCGCTCGCGGTTGCGATCGTCGACACGGTCGAGCTGGCGCGCCTGCCGCTTGCGCAGCGACTCAACTTGTCGCATCGCCTTGGCGTGCGCGACGCCAGTGCACCGCGCAAGTTCGTCCTCTTTGCTCCGTTCAAACTGCGGCATGGCGCGCTCGACCGCGTCCCACTCGTCGGCTGCCATGAGCGCCTCGATCCGGGCCGCCGCGTTGAGCAGAGACGACGACCAGTGAAAGGCGACAGGCACGGCCTCAACCTTGGCCCACAGCTCCTCCTCCTCGCGCGCATGCTTGGCTTCAAGCGCCTCGCGCCGCGCCGCAGCCTGGGCCCGCAGCCGCGCCTCCAGTGCCGCGGTCTCGGACTCAAACTCCTCCAGCACATCGTGCTTCATCTGGGCCAGCGCTTCGGCATCGCGCCGGCGCGCCACACCAAGGTCGGCGGCAATCGTTCGCGGCAGCGCCGCCCGAGCCTGCACAATTGCCTTGCGCGCCTTGGCCACCTCGCGAAAGTTGCCCATGACAAGCGCCTGGTGCTGCGCCGCCACGAGCGCGTCCATCGACGCCACTACCGAGTTGGTCGCCTCGAACCGCTCATCACCTGCCGCCCGCAGCTGCTCGGCAGGGCTGCTATGCTTTTGCGGCGTGCCGGGTTGAGTCTCGTCACAGTCCTCGACACTCGCTGCCGCCTTGCCGCGCCGCCTTCCCGTCAGGCTTGCCGGTGCAACCGTAATCCGTGGGCTTGGTGGCGACGCTGGCTGCTCGAGCCCATGCCTACCCTCGGGCCGCAACACTGCCGACTCCATTGTCGGCAACAGGCTTCGTGTCGGCGACGCCGGCAGCGAGACCGTGTACGATCCCGACGCCGACCACGATCCGCCATCGCCTGACTGCGAGCCCGAGTCCGATGCCGATGCCGTTCGCGACGCCATTGCTGCCACACTGCACCCCGACCCCGGCTGGCGGCCTCAGCCAGCTCTGCCACCGTAGCCAGCACCTCGCTGCTTCCCTCTGTGCTCACGGTCACGATCCTCCCACGCCGACCCGCCCTCCGCCGCGCCGCCAGCCGATCGCCCAGCCGCTGTGCCTCACCCCCAGTCTTGCCCCCACCCCTGCCGGTGCCCCCACCCCTGCCGGACCTCTTGCCCGTAGCCTCGTCCCGTCCCTCTGTCGCCGCCGCCGCCGCCGCCGCCGCCTGCACCACCCGCCCACCAACCCCGCCCGCGCTCCCGTCTTCGGCCACGGTCACGATGCGTGCGGTGGGCGACGAGCTCCTAGCCGCCAGCAGGTCCCCCAGCGTCCGTCTCGGCATGACTGGGGGATGGGTGTGGGTGGGGTGTGGGTGGGTGGGGGTGGGGAGGAGGAAGGGGGGAGGCAACGGCTGAGTGTGGCACGAGTGAGCGGCGGCGAGCCGACGCAGAAGCTGCCAGCGGACATGCCTCACAGCACCGATCTGGCCACGATGGGCAATCATGAGAGACGGAGAGTGCAGGCAGATGACTCACGGCAGATGGCTGTCCAGCGATCGATGGCGCGGACGACCAGGGTGGGCACCCAGCCAACATGAGCCACGCCTGTCTCCCTCCAACCTGCCATGCTCTCGCCGTCGTCGCCACTGCTGCAGCAGCACGACGCAGAGGAGGCGTGGCGGCGGGTGACGCTGGTGCAGGCGGTGAACGAGGGCGTGCCGGCGGCGGCGGTGGCCGGGTGGCGGGCGGCGCGCGAGGCGCTGCGTGCCGAGGACGCGCTGGTGTATGTGCGGCGGGGCGGGAAGCGGTTCTCGCTGGCTGCGGATGGCTTCTACTACGCTGTCTCGTGCCCGTGGGCGGTGTTTGTGGCCGGGGTGGCGGTCCTCTACACGGCGCTTGCGCTCGTCTGTGTCGCCCTGCAGCAGCTCGATGGGGCTGGCTTTGATCCGCCCCCGCGGACCATGGGCCACAAGATCCTCATCAATCTCAACGTGCTGACCGGCCTGGGGCTGGGCAAGTACTCGGTCTCAACCACATACATGGACATCATGCTCTGCGCCGAGTCGCTGCTCAAGGTCATGTGCTTCTCCTTTGTCACCGGCCTGGTCTTCTCGCGCTTTGCCCGGCCGCGCGCCCGCATCTGCGCCTCGTCGTGCGCGGTCCTCGCCTGCCACATGGGCGCGCCTGTTGTCATGCTCCGTATCGCTAACGAGCGCGACGACAACAGGCTCATCAACGCCTCCTTCCGCTGCACCTTTTCCATCTCTGAGACTGGGCCAGACGGCTCGACCTGGCGCCACCAGCTGCCGCTCACTCTCCGCCGCGACTTTATGCCCACCTTTGCACTCCCGCTCACCCTCATGCACGACATCGACGAACACTCGCCGCTCGCCCGATTCACGCCGGCGGAGCTGCTCGATGGCCACGCCCACATCTCGCTCTCGGTCTCAGCCACCGATCCAACCCAGGGCGGAAACGTCTCGGCGCTCTTTGGCCTCCGCGCCTCGGAGCTCGAGTTTGGCAAGGCCTTTGCGGACATGTTCATTCGCGACGCTGTCGACCCGAGCCGCCGCATCGTGCGGATGGACCTCCTCTCCAAGCTCAAGACATCGTGAGCGAGGCGGTATCTACCGCCGCCGCACCGACTTGTGCTGCTTGTGGACGTCCCACGTACGGTCCGCCTGCTTCTTGAGCACTGTCCGGCGCCAGACGTCGCGGCGCGACTCGGCTTTGTGGAACTGCGGCGTCGACTTGACTCGGGCCTGGAACGACGGCGTGAGCGAGTCAGCCAGCCGGCCAAACTGCAGCGGTGGGAGCGTCACCTCGCCGCGCCGCCGCTCGTCCTCGGGAATAAGGTCACGCAGCGGGTCTTCGGACGACAAGTCCGAGTCGACCGAGTCGGTCGACAGCCGCCGCCCGGGCCGCATCCGCGGCGAGAGGAACCGTGCCGAGCCTGTCGACGACGTATCCGAGTCGCGCCGCCCCGCCCGCAGCCGACCCATTACCTTGGCTGCGTGCAGCGCCCGGGAGAGCATCACCACCGAGTCACGCCGCTTGCTGCTCCGCACCCCGTGGCTCGCCGCCTCGAGTGGCCTGCTCGCCGGTGCAGGGCTGGTCGGGAACGAGTCGCGCGCCTCGTCAGCCTCAGCCTCGCCCTCGCCCTCGAGCGAGACATGTAACGAGACGCCCGAGCCGATGCCGGCCACGACCGTCTCGCCCAGCTCGATCCCGTCGCTGGCCTGTGGCTCCGAGTCGGCTCCGCTTTGCTGGCCGTCGTCATCCGCAGACTCGCCGTCGTCATCGTCACCGTCATCGTCACCGTCATCGTCGTCATCACTGAGCACCAGCGATGCGCCCGCATCGCCCTGCCGCGCAGCCTCGGCAGGCTGCAGCAACGACTTGTAGACGTCCGAGAGGACCCGCTCCATCGAGCCTTCGCGCATCAGGGATCGCGCAATGTTGATCGACTGCGAGCCGTGACGCATCGACGCCGTCGCCGCAATAACTTCGGCGGCGTGCGAGAAGCCGGCGTGTGACGCCGCCGCCGCTGCGGCCTCGGTCTCGGTCTCATGATCGACAGCGCCGTACCGCGCCGCGCCGTGCCGGACTGCAATGTCTGCCATGACCGACCCGCGCCGCCGTGACGTCATCTCGGCCTCGGGCACCCCGACTGCGCACCCCGACTGCGTAGGTGAGCATGAGGTTGCGCGCCCCGCGTCGCAGCCGCTCCTCGTCGGTCTGTGAGTGTGGCGCGGCGGTCTCACTCGCAGGCGCGCCGGCAGCAGGTACATCGTCGTCATCGACCTGCTCGGCGCCATCGGCACCAGCTGCAGTCTCGACACCATGCTCCGGCACCTCGCCGGTGGCGAGGCGCTCATCGGCAGCAGCGCCGCCACCGTACGAGCGGTTGGCCACCTCGGCCGGTACCTTGGTCATGGTCTCCAGTGTGGCCGGGTCATCCAAATGGGCGGCAGCCTTGAGCACAATTCGCGGTAGCGCCCGCTTGAGCCGCTTGTACGAGGCCTTGGCTGTCCACGAGACACCGTAGATCTTGCGCATGCGCCGCGCAAACGACGGGTCGCTCGCAAGTGCCCGGAACGGTGGGCAGGTGAGCGGAGTGTCGGACGCGGTCGGAAAGTGGACAAAGACTCGCTTCTCTGACACGTTGGGGAACTTGGCTTCGCGGAAAAAGTGGTCAGTTGGCGGCACAGCCGGCAGCGCCGATGGGATCGACGGCGCGTGGTACGGGTTCTTGTCGCGCGACTCCTGGCTCGAGAGCAGCGACGGCACAACAAGCTGCGAGTCTGACTCGCTCCCGAGGTACGGATCGGTCGTCGGCAGCCGCTGTGCCGCCAGTCGGGCCTTGACCTTGTTGCGAAACTTGGAGACGAGCATGGCCTGGTTGGCGTGCTCGCGCAGCGCAGCAAGCGCAGTCGCGCGGCTCGACGACGACGCGAGCACGCTACGCCGCAGCGCCATCGGCCCCGAGTACGCCGCCATGCTCCATACCGGCGGAGCGGTGACCTCGGTAAAGTGGCCGACGAGAGACGCCGCCACAATGTGAGTGAGCTCGACGCCGCGAAGTGTGGTTGCGTGCGAGCTGTCGCGCCCGAGGTACAGCTTGTACAGCGAGACTGAGCCCGGAGTGCAGACCACCAGCGAGTCTTGCGCCCCGTGTGCGGCTCCGCCCCACACATAGCTCAACGCCACAATCGGCATGGTGTGCGAGACTACAATGCCCTCCTCCTCCGACACCAGCCTCCCGCGCCCGTGTTGCAGCGAGACAATCATGACGCGGCCAGAGGCGTGTCCGGTAAACGCAAAATAGTTGAGCGGATCAAGCGTGAGCGCAGTGATAGGCCCGCCGCCGGCCTCGGCGCTCGCCAAGTGCAGCGTGTCGCGTTCGAATCCCGTCCGCACATCCCACATCCGCAGCGAGCCGTCGCCGCACCCGGCAAGCAGCGGCGGGAGCTCGTGCGAGGCGAGCTGAGCGAGGTACGGCGCAAAGGCAAGGACCCGGATTGCGCACTCGCCAGAAAACCCGCCGGTCGCCCACGCCTCCTTGTGCTCCTCGGCGTGGAGAATAGCTTTCGGCGAGCGCGAGCCCATAGTCCACACAAAGATCTTGCCGTTATACGAGCCGGTTGCCACAATGTTGGGCGCGGCAAAGGCAATCGAGAGCACGTCCTCGTCGTGGCGCTGCAGCGAGGCGGCGGTGCGGTCGCGGCGCCCACATGCCGTTCGCAGGTTGGAGACCGACGCTGTAGAGAGCAGCGAGGTGATCGACGCGTTGGTGGCCGCTGCCTCGGAGAGGAGCGGCGACCGTGACCGATCCGAGTTGGTCCGTGAGAGTTTCGACGACGACGACACAGCGTCCGAGTCGCTCGAGGTGTAGCCACTTGCCTCCGAGTCCGAGCTCGACTCACACCCTGCGTGGGCCGCAACCTTGACCAGCGATGCAAGTTCGGTGAGGGTTGAGCCGTCTGCCCGCGTCCCGCGCACGTTCCGGACCCGCGGGTTGTTGCCCAGCACCGCCGTCGACGACGAGCGCCAATCGGTCACCTCGGGGCTCGTCGGCTCGGGCTGGAGGAGCTTGGCCGGGCCGAGCACCAGATTGTCGACGTTGGCGTCAGCGAGGAGCGAGAACTGCCGCCTGAGCTGCCGCCCAGCAAGCGCGGCAGGCATTTCGCCGAGCTCGTTGACAATGGCGTTGGCAAGCAAGTCGACCGAGGTACCTGGCGACTCTGCTTCCGAGCTCGACGACTCGGTGTCTGGCACCTCAGAGATGTGGACAGCAACAATCGGGCGGGTAGTCGATGCCGTGAGCTCAGCCACATCGCCTGCGTAGTGAGTCCGTGGTGTGGGCGAGGGCTCGGCCGACGCAGGTTGGACCGAGCCGAGTGAGAGCCAGAGATCTGCAATCGAAGTGCGCGAGAGGCTGAGGCCGGGAACCGAGCCGGCCGAGGTCTGCAGCTTGGCTTGGGCGCGGCGGCGGCGGCGGGCACGGCGCTTCTTGCGACGAGCACGGGCGCGGGCGGCCGAGTTGTCAGCACTGACTGCGCCCTCGCCTCCTGGTTCGAAGCTCCGCCGCGAGGCCGCCTTGTGCGGTGAGAGCACGCCCTCGACGACCGACGCGTACGACTGCGGCGTCTCCTCAAACGGGTCAATGTTGGTATGGGCCGAGTCAAAGAACGAGGTGCCGGCGGCAAGGTCCGCGCGAATCTTGGTAAACGGTGGAGTGTACGGGTAGCGGCGGGCCGAGGCCACGCCTGAGGCAATAGGAGGCGCGGGCGTGGCGCGGGCACGGCGCTTACGCGGTGAGGCCGCCGCCCGCGGCGGTGGCGACGACCGCGGGGCAGACACGGCGCTTGCGCCAGATGGATGGTTGAGCATGCACTTGCGGTCGTCGCCGGACGCGTTCGAGTCTTTGAACATGGAAAGGACCCGCGACCAGCCTGTGGCAAGGATGGTGCGGGAACATTCCGAGGCGGCCGAGGCCAGCGTAGCATGCAGCTGGCTGTAGAGGTCGAGGCGGGTCTGGTGGTCGAGGACGCGGGTCTTGGAAGCGGTGGCTGAGGCAATGAGCGCACCGGCCGCCTTGCGATGATCTCCCGAGAGCTGAACGGCGGCAGTTATGGCCATGACCGGCTCAGTGAGAGTATCGTCGAGATCCCACAGCCTCTGGCCGTTGTTAAAGTTCCACACCGAAAGCGCGCCCTGCGAGGTGCCGACCACGAGCTTGCGGCCGGCGAGCGAGGCGGCGGTAACGTCCTCCTCGGCGAGGGCGGCGACAAACTGGCGGGCGAGCTTGGACTTGAGCTCGTCGCGGGCGCGAGAGGCCTTGGCGGCTTTGGCGGCCTTGGCGCCGCGGGCGGACGACGACGAGGTGGCGGAGCTCTGGTCGGCGCGGGTGGCCTTGAGCACGTTGGCGAGGCGGCGCTCGTGCGGATCGATGCCGTCGCCTGCAAACGGCGGAAGGATCGAGGGGACAGCCAACTCGAGCTCGCCGGCCTGGACCTGCTCGGACGAGTGCTGCGGGAGCTCCGAGGCAGCGAGCGAGCCTGGGAGCGAGGTGAGAGCGTTGGAAGTCTTGCGCTCGATGACCGAAAAAGTGTTCTTCAGATTGCCCGAGGAGATGTCCCAGACGCGGACAAAGCCTGTCGAAGTGACGTTGATGACGACGTTGAAGAACGGCTCGTAGAGAGCAGCGACGTTGCGGCCGCGGAGCAGAGTCTCTGAGGTTTCTGGGCCCGAGGCGAGGACAACGCGCCAGGGGATGATGTCTGTGGTGGTGGCGAGAAGGTAGTCGCCGTCGGGATCGCGGAAGAGCGAGGCGATGAGCTCGTTCGGCGCGAGCGGAGCGAACGGCTCGATGATGTGCAGCAGGCTGTAGCTCTCGAGATCCCACACACGGAGGGTGTTGTCGGTGGCGAGGGCGAGGACTTCTTGGGTAGGAGGCGAGAGAACCACCTTGGTGATCGGGTGGGAGTGACCAGTGAGGCGGGCGAGCGGCTCGGAGGAGGCAAAGGTTGGCTTCCAGAGGCGGACGGCGCGGTCGATACCGCCAGTGGCGAGAAAGTGCCAGCCCGAAGCTGCGGGGCAGTAGTCAAAGTCGGCGACGCCGCCGGGAATGGCCCACACCTTTTCAAACTGGGCGCCGGCCTTGGTGTCAAAGTGACGGACAAAGAGGGCGGCGTACGAGTTGGTCGAGCACGCCGCAAACGAGGTCATGTCCGGGAGGACCATGACCTTGCCGATCCAGCGCGAGATGGCCTTTTGGGCGGCGGCGACCCGCGGGAGGAGCTGAGTCTCGTCGACGCGTCCGGTTGGCAGTGGGAGCGTGACAGGGAGGAGCGGGGCGCCGTGCGGGGTCGGCTCGACAGGCAGGGCGGCGGCGGTGGCGGCGGCGGCCGACGGTGGCAGGTCCGGCCGCGCCCGGGCCGACGGCTGGGTCATGACCGGTGCATCAGTCGGGTGGTGAAAGTAGGGGAGGAGGGCGTGGGTGTAGAGGGCTGTCGAGACGGTTCCAGCGGCAACGGCCTCGGGATCAAGGAGGGCGGCAAAGCCGAGTGAGACGGCCTCGCGAGTGGAGAACTCGAGAACAGTCACGGTGCCCGAGGTGTCGCCGAGCACCAGGACGGCAGTGTTGGACTGAGGGCAGGCCTGGACGTCAATGCAGAGCGGGACGTTGGCCATGAGCGGGGTGGGCGCGGCAGCGGAAAAGGCAGAGCCGCCTTCGATAACGACGAGGCGCTCAAAGACCATGTTGTCCTTGACGTGATAGACAGAGAGCTTAAAGTTGTCTGTGGCGACAAAAAGGAGCTGGAGAAGCGGCAGAAAGGTGACGTCGGTGACCCACGCCGACGAGGTGCGGCTTGTGGGGCCAAAGAGGCGATTGGCATCGTCGGTAGCGCCCGGGGCGCGGTCGCTGGCAAAAGCGAGCGAGCCAAAGATGCCACCGGTCTCCTGAGTCGACGCTGCCGAGCCAAAGGCGGTGGTGGCCGACGAGTGGACGTGGGTGGCGAGAACGCGGAGGAAGGTGGTGGGCCAGACGGCAAAGACCCCGTCCTTGGAGACAGTGAGGAGGCGGGCCTTGGGAAGGGCAAAGACACCGATGATGGCTTCGCGGTGCGGTGAGGGCGTGCTGATGGAGCGCTGGGCAAAGGTTTTGGGCTTGGAGCCGGCGGCAGATTTGAGGTTCGAGGCCGAGGTCTCGAGGTCGGCGTACATGTAGGAGAGGAACTCGTCAAAGTCGACGGTGCCGTCAAAGTTGGCGTCGATCTTGTGAAAGAGGAGGCGGACGGCGTCGCGGGCGGCGCGCGACGATGGCACAAGATCGCCGGCGAGGAGGGCTGAGAAGGCATCAACAAACTGGTCCTCGGTGAGGCCGCCGGTCCCGTCGGCGTCGGCCTCCTCGAACCTCGCCTTGAGCACCCGCAGCTTGTCGACCGAGAAGAGCTGCTCGAGCTTGGCGCGCGCAACCGTGTCCGGCAGCGGCTCTGTGATGTGGCTCGTAGACGTCGCCGCCCGCTGCAGCGCCGAGTCGAGCTTGGACATGTCGGCGAGGTCCTCGCGGCGGCGGGCGTCGAGCGATGCGGCACCGACCTCGTGGAGGGTGGCGTTGTTGGAGAGGACAACGTGCGAGATGTGCGCCCGCTTGCGGAGCGCCTCCACCGAGACCCGCGCCACCGCATATCGCTCAGCGTTGGCCGCCCCGCGGACGGCAGCCGCAGCCATGGCGTGGTCGGCCACCGAGGTCCGTGTCGAGTGCTGCGGGGCAGTGGCCACCGAGTGCGCCGCCTCGAGGTCATCCCGACGTCTGCGGGCAAGGGCCAGGTCTGTCTGGATGGCGTCCCGTTTGCGGGTGACCGAGCGTGCCTCTGGGGATGGCATGGTGGGTGGGTGGGTGGGTGGGTGGGGCGGGGGGGTGGGGTGGTGCTCGTACTCGCGATCGTGATCGTGATCGTGATCGGCGGTTGGCCGGGTGACGACCTTTTCCGGTCGGAGGTGCCTGACGTGAGCAGCCATTGTTTGGCGGAGGGTTGGAGTTGCGCCGCAGGCCGACAGGGAGCGCCACTCGACGCTTTGGGCACCAGAAGGATGGCGACCAACACGACGATGCTTGCCGGCGACGGGAGCGACCACATTCTTGCTCCCGTGTGGTCGTACTGCCTCAACAACATGTCCGAGTTTACCTTTGTCTACATTGGCACCTTTGTCATCCACGAGGTAGGCGGGGCAGGGGGGGGGGAAGGGGCGGCGGGAGGGGCTGACACGTGGGATGTCGCGTGGGCGGGGGAAGGGAGAGGAAGAGGAAGAGAGGGAGGGGAAGGGGGGGAGATAGTGACTCATAATGTGTGTGGGAGGGGGATTTTATGGGTGTGGGTGTGGGTGTGGGTGTGGGTGGGTGCTGTGATCGGGTGGCGGGCTGGTGGCGGACGGGGAGCAGCTGTGCTACTTTGGCTGCGCGGTCCCGTACATGATTGCTGATGCCATTCCGTACTTTGCCAAGTACAAGATCGAGGCTGGCTCGTATCCGAGCAAGGAGCGGCTGTGGTCTGTGTTCAAGACGCTACTCTTTCTGCATGTCTTTATCGAGGGCCCGATGATTGCCTTTACGCACTACTTTGTGACCATGATGGGCATGCGGATCGAGATGCCGTTCCCGTCGTGGCTCTCCATCGCCAAGACCTGCGTGCTCTGCTTCCTCATCGAGGACTTTTACTTTTACTGGTGCCACCGGCTCCTCCACCGGCCGTTCTGGTACAAGCACATCCACAAGATCCACCACGAGAACAACGAGCCGTTTGGCATCGCCGCCGAGTATGCCCACTGGGCCGAGACTGCTATCCTGGGACTCGGCACCATTCTCGGCCCGATCTTCACCTGCGACCACTTGCTCACCCTCTGGTCTGGCTCATTGTCCGCCTCGTCCAGACCATCGAGGTCCACTCGGGCTACGACTTTCCGTGGTCGCTCAACCGCTGGGTGCCCGGCTGGGCCGGTGCGCCTGCCCACCAGGTCCACCACATGACGTTTACCACCCAGTACTCGTCGGTCTTTACCATCTGGGACAAGGTCTTCCGCACCGACACCACCTTTAAGCGCAAGATGATGGCCACCTTCCCCGAGAACGAGTCAGCTGCTGGCAAGACCCATGGCGCCGCCAAGGACTCGGGCTCAGACTCGGACTCGGACACCGGCTCGGCCGAATCAACCGAGGCTGTCGTCGCCACCGGGGTCACCACTCCGACCCGGCGTTCCGCCCGGCTCGCGCGGAGGACCCGGGACTGAGGCCGCGGCAAGTGTGTAAAGTTAGAGGCGGAGATCGATGCCGAGCTCCTTGGCCTCGTCCAGGAGCATCGATGTCTCGGACGCGGTGAGCGCGTGCAGACATTGAGGGTGGGCTGGGTGGCGGCGGCGGAGCGGCAGGTCAGCCGCCGCCGCCGGAGCGGCAGGGGCGGCAGGAGCCCGCAGGA